AAATCAAATGATTTAAATCAGGCCAACCCTGGTAGCAGGGGTACCGCGTCAATTCGTCGCGCACAATTCATCGAGCGACAATTGATCGCAGCGTCAATTTGTCGCAGCGACAACTGGTCGCAACGACAATTGGTCGCAACGACAATTGGTCGCAGTCACAATTCGTCGCAACACAATTCGTCGCAAGTACAATTGGTCCCATGCCACAATTGATCGCAGGCGAAAAATGATAGCGTTTATAGAGAAAATAAGTAATTGTTATGAATGAGGAAAATAAAATAAAGTGCTATATTCTCAAAAATTTTATTATTTCTAAAAAAGTGTCAAAATAAATACATACGAGTTCCATAAAAACAGTAACTATTAGGCTCATTTCCGATTAAACCAAAGTGCAAAAAAGTGAAAATATTGTAAAATATTTTTTTTTAATGCTGACACATCTCGTATGCTGTAATGTTCATTTGGATTACTCGTCTTATTGATTAGACACTCAAGTAAGTGATTCAAGCTTTTTTTCTCACAAGTTTAAAGTTTGTCAATTAAACGAGTGAAAAAAATAGCTTTCAAAACGTGTTGCACGTAATTTTTTTTATAAAAAATGGTTTTAAAATTATTACAACTGTCGAATTAAAAAGTTATAGTTATCATAATCAATGAAATCGTGAAAAAACTCTCGTTACAGTTTTAAGTGAAAAAGTATTATTTTCATTACGTTTGATAGTTTAAAAAATTAAATATATATATTTTTTTTAATAAATTTGGTGCAAAGAAATTTGAATTTATATATTAACAATTAATCTTGGAGTTTACTGCATTCTTTGCAGACAATTTTTTGGTCACTACAAATTAGTTCTGGATTATCTTTAATCCATGATAAAACCAAAGATGTTTTTTCATTAATACCTTTTTTGAACGCTCACACTGTTAATGAGGCGCTTGTAGATACGAAAGAATGAATAATTTATCTCATTCCCTTTGCTAAATACCTACAAACCAATCTCCACTTTTACGGCATTTGTGTAAACAAGATCGTAAAAAGATTAGTTTTGACCATGGAGCAAAGAATATACTCATACTGGAGGAAGTGCCAGACTTAAAATGATGGTTTCGAGCCAAACCGGTAAAGTGTCATAAACAGTACCCCTCATTACCCAAATAAGACTGCCGATTACAGTGACGTACAGTTTTTTTTTTTTTTTTTGAAGCGGCTCAGAATAAAAATTGTTGAATAAAACAACGCACATAACAGATTTATATTCTTCTCTATTAATTAATATTATTTAAAATATTTAAATCAATCAATACATCACGAGTAACAAGTAATACAAACAGTGAAAACCGTTAAAAAGTAGAAACGTCCAGGATGATGACGCTACTGAGTAGTGGTTATCCGCAATGGCGTGACTAATTTTTAGCATGGGAAGTTTGAAAAGTTTATTGAGGGGAATTTCACTCGGAAGGACGACTATTCAATCAGAATTATTTGCCTAATCTGCCGGATGTAGGTGGGCTTCTCCAGCCCATGTTGTAAATTTTTCTAGGATGCAAAGTGCGGAGAATAATAAAATCAGGTAGCAGACCGTAGTAGGGACATTCATGGAAAACTGGGAACCAATTATTTCTTCTTTTTTTTTAGATTTAAGGGCCGTTTTACACGTCACAGAAAAATCTATCGTAAAAGGAATTTTTAGAAATAATGTTCTGGTGATTAATTGGTTTCAAAAGATCAAGAGGCACTCGAAGCAAGCCCTGACAAACTTATTAGCGGCACCAGCGGAGATCTCCAACTGGCTGCGGTACATACAACCACCATGGACATTCGCGTAACCTCCTTTTCCAGAATTGTCAAAATGACATTGGCAAACTCAAAGCAATCACGGATTAAGCATTTCATTTTAAATTCAGTTAGTATCAAGTGGTACACGGTATTCGTATTTTGGGTAGCGTAAAAATAATTTTCAGAAGTAATTTTCTCGTGACTAACCCTGTATATGTATTTTTTACACCCACATATGGTACAACTGAATTTTTCTTCAGTACAATACTAGTCACATAATAATAAATAATAATTAAAAAGTAAGTTTTTAGTTGCGTAAGTACCTACATTTCTTAGATTTCCCGGTAACACAAAATTATTTTTGACGCTCTAACAAAAGTTTTTGCAATATATATTTACAATACACGTAAACCTTTCTCAAACCCTGTAAACGATCCGTTGCAATTTACAAGGGATTAAAATAAGTATTATATCCGTCCAGTGGAATTTACATTCGCTGCATATGGATACTCTGTACTATTAGTTCATAAATTTTATTGTTTGGTGATATGTATAAAGACAAGAATAGACAATAGAGGCAATTCTGTATCAAAATGTGTTAAAATTTAAAGGTTGTTAAAAATATGATTTTTTAAATAATTGTATAATAAATCTAGTTAGAACAATAAACACTTGTTTTTATGTTGAGGACTTATTATAATGAAGCTAGTTCCTATAATATAATAGGTAAAATAAGCAACGACATAAATAGTAACAATCTCTTAAAAAAAATAACCAAAATGACAATTTATTAATAAAAAATCTTATGAATAATAACAAAGTGTTTACGCTAGTATTTTTTAATTTTTAAAGTGCAATTACAAACTTCGTCATTTATCTATATTCAAATTGTTTTTAATTCGGTATTTACACCTTACCTGATTGCTAAATTTATTGCAACTTAAAATTAAGAATACAAAATATTTAGTTTTAATAAAAGAAAATACTTCCCGATGAATTTTACCTTGCAATCAATTGACGCTGCGATAAATTTACGTGCGATCTATTGTCGCTGCGATCAATTTTCGTGCGATCAATTGTCGCTGCGATCAAACGTCGCCGCGATCAATTGTCGCGTGCGACCAATTGTGCTGCGACGAGTTGTTTGCGATCAATTGTCGCGCGATCAGTTGTTTGCTACCAGTTGTCGTAGAATCGTGAACAATTGTGCGGGAGTGATTGGGCAATTTAACGAGTGCCGTGAAACGTATATACCTATATTCAAGTGTTAATTGTGCTATTTTCTTTATTTCTATTCTTACCAATGTTATGCATGCATATTTCGCTCTTGTTCTATTTACCAATTTTTATTATTATTATGTACATACATACATGTTTCTTAATACTTATTGTGCAATCTCATGACTTGTAATTACATTATAATTATTAATTTTGAATCCTCATAGTATTCAAGGCGGGGAGGTATGGTACCGCTTTTACGACCAACCAGGTAATCGCCCGCTAACCTACCCCTTCCTTCGGGGAAGTGACGAGGGTGTGATGAGAGTCGTCTCCGAACAACCGACGAGTACACTTGTATATATCAAATAGTTGTTGATGTTGTAAATAAACATATAAAAGCACATTCCATCGTTTTCGTGATTATTGCGCTAACAGCCATTTTGATAAAATAAAGTTTAAAATTACGATCTCTGTCGTTGTGCGAGGGTTTTTTAAATAACAAAAAGCTTTTAGTGCTATAAAATTTGTTCAATTATAAAAGTACATAAAAAAGTCTCAGGAATAAAAGAAAAAAAAATTACCTTCAACATACAAAATCAAAACATTTTGGCCGCAGAAAAAATCATCAAAAATATCTCAGTCGTTTATTGAACAATTCTGGGGTAGAATTGTGGGAGTGAGTAAAAAGCCAATAAAGCTTAATACTAATTTTATTCAAAACAACCTAACTTATTGATACAAAACTAATTATTTACAGCGTGTGAGTGGTTCTAAACTAAAGGTAATAATACATATGAAATTATATTGCGTCCCAGTTTCTTGTATTTTCTTTTGTTCCATTACCGCTGTCTTCGTAACGCTGACGATGGTGCTCTTGTGGTGGTCAGCGTTTCGCAGTTCTGGTGCTTGCAATTCCATGTTTCAGCGTTCTACATTCGCGTCGTTGGTCTTGACCTTCTTATTGGTGACGTAAAGAGGAAATTTAAATTTTAGAAATTATTGTTTAAATTTAGGATTTAAACATGTTGGGTCTCTCCAAATGGACAGGGGCGATGGGGTTTGTAGAAGGGTTGCACTGGGAACGCAACGGTATGGATTAATAGTTAATTAGGATACTCTTGGCGGGTAAGTGGGTCTCATCTTGACAGCCTCCTCTTGAGGTCGTGGTTGTGTCCGTTGCTTTTTTCGATAATGAGGAACCATGCTGCCCAGATTGCACCCGTGATCATTGTTAGGACGATGCTGCTGATGATGTCGTTGAATCTTACAATGTGCAGAGTTATCTTTGGCCATGTTGTTTCTTGAAGTTCGGACTGTATTTCTTCTTCTTCCTTTTCTAATTCTTTTGGTGTGTTGAGTCTGGACCATGGCTTGATTAGCTGGTTCTTAATACTCTTCGCCCTATAAGCGTACCGCAACGTAATTATCGTCTCGTCGTAGTTAACATTCGCGGGCCCGATGTTCGCTATCATGATCGTCTTACTGTTACCCCCCAGCGAGTCCTGGAGCAACCTCGTCAACTTGGAGTCTCTATAAGGTATGTGCTCCGAATTCTCCGCCAGAGCGTAAATGACATTCCCTAAACTCGAAAGCGCCTTGTTGATCTTAGTCGCTTCCTTGAAACTCTCCCCAGTGGCCCCCGTCTTCGACTGCCTCTCACTGCCCGCCAGATCCACCAAGTTCAATTTTCCGACTTTGACCGACTTCGACTGATGCTCGGCCATTTCTATAACGATCTGAAAGATGACATGCGATCTTGAGCTGTGTTCGTTCATGTTAGTGGCGCCACTGGTGCGGTTTTTGTTGCCTTGGCGCATGGTGCGCATCATGTCGTCGGCGCTTTGACAAGTTTGGGAGTGGAGGTGGGTCACGCAGACGCCTTTCCCAGTGATTTCGCGCAGCTCGAGGGACTTCGAATTCTTTATTTTCAAGAGGTCTCTATAAAACATAATAGTAGGCTTTGGTTAAATGTCATTCAGTGTAGTTTTTTTTTTTTCGAACAATGTCAAACAGTGGGCTTTGCGTAAACGTCATTCTAGTACTGTCACCTTTTACAACAGTCGGGTTTGTTTTACCTTTTTTTTCTTAATATACATAGCCATCTTTTCACAACAAGAAACTTAGAACATAGTTAAAATGGTACATTTTTGTAGTTAATCAACTTAAATCCTCCGCTTTTCTTCTACAACTCCTTTAAATACGGCAAAAGTTGAACATCAAAGTTACTATCAACGGCAACTAGACAACGGAGTTTATAAACAACAATTTTCTGTTCTAAAAGTAACATCAATGGGAATTTCAACGTCAACAACAAGATTATAAATCCCACTTGAGTTGGAAATTTATTTTAGTCCGATTTAATCGCAGCACACTAAAGTACGTTGTCGAGCGTTAATCGAAAATAAAATTACTCATAGTTGGCCGTGCCTGTCAAACTTCGGGTTGTACTACTGCCGTCAGTTTGACAAAAAGAATGTCAACATCAACCAAATCATAAGTCAGACGTGTCAATTCCAGATCACAGTTCCTACCATGATTTGTAACCCATGTTCAGAAACAAACAAAAACAGCGACTCTGACGATATTACCAAAAGTCAAAAACCACAAGAACCCGTTTTTCTCAATGTCTACGACATGTATAAACTGAATGAATACACTAGCAACATTGGGTTCGGGGTATTCCATTCGGGAGTTGAAGTTTATGGAAGAGAATATGGTTATGGGGGCCACCACCACAATTACAGTGGAGTTTTTGATATGGAACCCCGAAATGAACAAATTCTCGGCGACTTTTTTAACATGAGAGGCCACCTACAATTTAGACAGACCATTCACATAGGGTATACAAGTTTCATTTTGGAAGAAGTAGAGATGATAAAAAATCGACTGGGAAGAAAATTCCGAGGAAATAAATGCAACTTGATTGGTAACAACTGCAACCACTTTTCTGGAGCCTTTACAAAAATTCTGTGTAAGAAGAACATCCCTGGATGGGTCAACCGTTTAGCCAACGTTGGCAGTTTTATCCCGTTCCTAAACAAAATTCTGCCAACCGATTGGGTCAACCCTAGCATTTGGGCCCCCATGTAACCCACAATAAAGTTTTCCTCACTTGATGTCTTCCATGTAAATTTCCAAGTAGCGCACCGTCACTAAAAATTCTAACCCAGTAGTCCTGTTAATATGGTACCAGATTTGGATCAAAAGCCCTTGGAATCACGCCAAAATGCTCCTCGTACTTCTCAATCCCCTCCATTGTGTACGTTTTCAAAGTTCCAGTTTGTCCATACGCGAAAACACACCCATTATAGCCATCAAGGACCGATGAAACCAAAGGCCGGACCATTTCATCATAAATGCACTGCTGTGACGCACTGCAACACCGCCATTAAGAACAAACACAAAAAAAACACCAGCTACGAACTTCCAGTCGTAGACTGCGTCATATCTGAAAATTTTCTTTCCTTCGTTTTCGAATCTAGCTTTGGGGTTCTCCACTTCGATCACGCCTCGATTTGAATAAACATTAACAACTGGAGAACAATCTGCTTGGGTTTCTTGGTCGCTAATGGGTCTGCAGCGGACTATCACTTGAACGGCTTCATTGTTGGTTGGTTTTTGCTGAAATAAGAGTGGTTTTGGTGGGTCGAGGGCGGTTTAGGTTGTACTCACGGATACGGAATCTTTGCTTGAATTGCTCATTTTAAATATTTGTAAAATGCACGGTTTAAATTATAACATACACAACACGCATTGCACGGGGTAATCACAATTGTCACAAAAATAAAATTTTTCGCCATTTAATCCATAGAATACCTTCCCTGATTTTTGATTTAATCATTTCATTACTTTATATGTGTCACCAGACGACAAGTCCTGATTCCGCGGACAATCACTTTATTATTATTAACATAGGCTAAGCATTTATTAGGTAAGAAATTCATATAAAAAACGTCCGTGCGGGACGGCGGTTCTCTCCACAGTGAGAACACTTTTTTTTTTTTTTTTGGTAGAGGGGAAATGTCTACGCAGACCACCGTAATGGTTCTTGGCCTGCTCTGCGGCCTACGGTGGTACTGGGGGAATGGGTACCGCCCTAAAACCCCTCCTTCTTCTGCTCGGGTACCAGGACATTGTCCCTTACACCCATGACGCGCATCTCGGTAGACACAGCGGGAGCTGCGCTACCGAGCTCGGTTGAGCTATTGATTGCCTAGGAGTTGGCCCCCATCATCGGCTGTTCCTCGCGGTTCCTGCGGCCGGTGGAGATCTGAAACAGAAAAATGCGCTATGCGCTGGCGTTAGTTGTGCAACACCTTGGAGGTGATGCTGACGGGAAGTTGGGAAGGCTGGGAAAGGCCGGTCGCGTCGCTGGAGACGGCAGGTGGTGTTACTTGCCGATTCAGACTTCAAGTAGCGCCCTACGGGGCCGCTTGCGACTGGGGGGAGCTTCCTCGTCGAACTCGTAGTTGACGGCTTCTCTCACCAGGGGGTTGGGGTGTTCTTCAGCTTTCCTGAAGGCTCGGAGGGCGATTTCGTGCAGGAACTCCTTCAGCGGCGGGAGGTTGGCCTCTCGGAGCAGTTGGGCGTTTCTGACGAACCATGGGGCTTGGAAAACCTGTCGGAGAGTTTTCGTCTGGATGACTTCCAGACGGTGAAACTGGGTTTTGGAGGGTTCATAGCTCCAGGCCACTGAAGCATAGGACATGGTGGGGCGAATGATGGCGCGATACAGCAACAACTTGTTCCTGATCGACACCTTACTGCGCTTACCGATCAGCGCAGACAACGAACCCTTTATCTTGTTCGTATTGGCCACGATGTAGTCAATATGAGGGATAAAGGACAGCCGTTTGTCGACGATGACACCTAGGTATTTTGCTTGGCTCCGCCAAGGGATGACCCGGTTAAACATCGTGACGTTTCCTTCTGGCCCAGTACGTCTTTTCGAGATAAGAATCGCAGTGCTCTTTTCTGGATTGACTGTAATGAGCCATCGTTTGCACCACTCCTCCAGCGCATCCACGGCCTCCTGTAAGTAGGAGGTTACGAGGTGCGGCATTTTGGAGCGCGTAAGGATAGCCGTGTCGTCTGCGTAGATGGCAAGGCTAGTTCGGGGGGGTTTGGGTATGTCCGCGGTGAAAACCGCGTTCACGAGCGGGGAGAGCGCCGAGCCCTGGGGGACTCCTGCGCTAATTGGATGCTCCGCAGATAAAGCGTGCCCAATGCGTGCTTTAAACGTGCGGGAATCCAGGAAAGATTGGATGAGCTGCACCATCGCCAACGGCACGTCTGCTTGGTGAAGCTTGTAAACAAGTCCATTATGCCAGACGGTGTCGAAGGCCTTCGCAACGTCGAGAAACACCGCGCCAGTCAATTGTTTCCATTCAATTGATTTTGCGGCGAACTTGACTACTCGGAGAAGTTGTTCGGATGTTGAGTGTTGGGGACGAAAACCGAACTGTTCATCGGGGACTACGCCTCGTACGTTGACGAACTCAGCTAGCCGTTTCCGAATCACACGTTCAGCGATCTTCCCCACGGACGAGAGGAAACTGATGGGTCGGTGATTTTCCGGGAAAATGTGATTATTCCCCGGTTTCGGGATGAAAATGACATGGGCTTCTTTCCACCTAGCTGGAAAAACTCGAAATTTGAACATTGCATTAATGATACCTGCTAGTGCGACGATGGCTTCGTCGGAGAGGTCTTCAATGCTTTGTTCGGGATGCCATCTGGGCCTGGGGCTTTCCTGGGCTTGAGGAGTCGGATAATTTCACGGATTTCGTCGGGATGGACTTCGCGGATCTGGGCGTCTACGTCGGGTTCTCCCATTCAAATTTCTTCGACGGTTTCCTCGACGAGGTCCAGGTGCTCGTCATCTGCGTCAGGGTCGATGTTCGTCTGGCATTGGTTCTCCAGACTGTGAGAGAAGGCGGCGGCTTTGTCCTCTTCTGTGAAGACGATGCCGTTGTTCGCACTGTGGATCGGTGGAAGTGGCCGCTTGTCGCTTCTCAGCGCTTTGGCTATTTTCCAGGTCGATCCGTCCGCGGTGTTCAGGGATTTTAGTCTTTGTTCCCACTGCTCGCTCCTAAGATTGAGCAGTGCTCGCCGCTTACTGGATTAATGTCAAATACCGGAGCTTGCTCCAGCTGAGTGTTTAACGCATATTCAGGCGTGGACTCTAATAGGTTTCCGTATAGCTTCTCCACGTCCTCTATCGATGGGACATCGCGGGTATCTTGACGGTCCAGTTTTCCCGACAGAATCTGCTCTACCAGGGATTTCGGCGCTTTTAGAAAAAGGTCTTGGGCTTTCTTATAAGCCGCCGCTTTGGCCTGAGCTCTATTCCTAGGAGTAGGAAGAGCTGCCGATGGAACAGTGGGCCTCTTTTTGTTCAGAGCAGAGCTGCCCGGAAACAAGCTGGCTACATACAGGTCAAGAGCCGCTTGAAAACTGCCGTCAGATCCTTTCAGTGCCTCTTTGGCAACATCGATCAGCTGGTTGTGATCCTTTCCCAGCGAATCGAGAGACGTGGAGATAATTCGGCGAATCTGGAGCGATAGAGTGTCTTCTTTGAGTGAAGTGCCCTCAGAAAGTTCTGGCACGGTGGTGTCGCTCTCTGTATTTTCAGAGAGCGTAGTCCTGGGCACCACAGGAGGAGGAGACCAGTGAGAACAGCCAGGAACTTGCGAGAAATGTTCTCCTGGGCTGTGACTACGAGGGGCCACAATCGATTGTGGCGTCTTCCTCTTGATATTATTTTGAGTCCCCAATTTACACTCATCGTGCGTCACCACTACAGATATCGGTGACATGTGAGTCCGTTCGTGCACCTTGGTGGTTTGGACTTCTTGCGGGGGAAGTTCGCGGCTGATCGCCTCCAGCGCGACGACAGCTGCAGCCCTGCGCGGAGCAGAGCGCGCGGATGTTGAAGGCAGCGAATCTGCTGCAGATCTTAATTCGAGGGGAGGAATTGTCTTTTTATTGGTCTTTTTCTCTTGGTAGGCCAAGAGTTTAGCTTCCTGCCCCTCGTTCCATTCCGTTTTGTGTGTCTTCTGCTCGTGAGCTTTCCGGCCTTTGAAGCTATCAAAGGAGCGATTACAAAAACGGCAGGAAGATGAAGTCCAGACGGGGCATATCTTGTGGTGTTTACGTAGGGAGTCGCGGTCGTGGAATCGGGACCCGCAATCACAAAGATGCGGGAAGTAGTTCGCGGAGCTGGTGCCCGGTTTCCGGAATGCAAATCGTCGGAAAACCCATCAGTAACGCCAGAAATACTTTGGGCACTAGTTTTAAAAACCTCTTGAGAGGTGGCGCCGACCGAGTGACTCACCTCAGGGGGGTCGGCAGTATCCTGAAGGGGATTCGGAGGAATCTGGGTGGATGTGACCGAAGGCGGCAAACAACGCGGACGGAATTTGGTTTTGTGTTTATGTAGACCGCCTCTAGATTTATAGGTCGCGTCACAAAAAGGGCATTTAAGCACGCCCCCCGATCCTGTGCATCACGATTTTTATCACCCATTATAGGGGAAGGACGCTAACAATAAAAAAATTAAATCGCGATGTGTGCTAGATCTTGAATGCGTTAAGTTCGCTCTAAGCAAATAAAAGAAATTAACTCCCTAACGTCGAAGCCTAGGCTTGCACGAGGGGCACAGTGTATTGGCTAATCGAGTCGACAGGTATAGCGACCGAAATCTCAACGAAGGTTTCCCGGGACGATAGAAATTTTCTAAGTCCGAGGACCTTGAAAAATTTATTAAGTCCCACGCGTGAGATTATTATGAGTCCACAAACGTACGAAAATCCTTCCTAGTTTCAAAGGTAAGCACTTAGAGAAATCAACCGATCACGAAACGAAATACGACTTACACCCGAACAAGGCGACGAGATAAATCTCTAACGACTTATATAGGAATAAGTCGACGAGAAAAATTCCGAAAATTAATTGCCAAGTCTCGCGTTTCCGGCGATAGAATAAAGAGACAACCGAAAACACCGAAGGGGACCGACAACGACGTTATCCGGGCCAACTATACTAATCAGCGATGGAATGATTGGAATCTCTCGCGCGAACAGAGAAAA